AACAAGACGGCCAGGCATTTACTCGGGAGAAAATACATCATATTATGACTTCTATCTATATAGCACCCTGTATATGTACGATTTTGGGGTATTTCTCCTGCAACGCATCACACCGCAGAGAAACGCAATGAATGCGGAAGTAACTATGCACCGCAGGGAAAAAAAGTCATGGGCCTATGACCTGATTAAGACATGAAATTATTGAAAAATGGTGTAAAAATGCCAGCAGGACCACTTCGTGGTGTGGTGAAGACATATTGCTTTCTCTCCTGTTTCTCCTTCTTCTTCTCCTCCTCCTCCTGCCATTTCTTAAAGGGATTATTCAACATTTTTCGGGCAAATGACCTGAGATGTGGCATGGAGGTAGAGTTGGCAAATACCCCCAGATTTTTTTTTTCATTTGTTTTAAAAAGGCCTTTAAAATTGTTTTATTTGTTGTTGTTTTTTTTGCCATTTTCAGGCAAAAATATACATTTACAGCCCTGGTACTAAACCTAAATGACCTGAAATTTGGTATGGGGATACCTTGGACACATGTCTACAAAATGGTATTCAAGCTTTTGACAAACGCCACTTTAAAATTGTATAAAATAGGGTTTTGGGCTATTTTCGGACAAATAATGTACATTTTGGCTCCTGTGCCCTAATATTAAATTCGAATAACCTAAAATTTGGTATGGGAACACCTTGGACAGAGACCAAATAATATTATTTACACTTTTGACATACACTACTTCAAAGTTGTGTAAAATATGGCTTTTAGGCTATTTCCGGACCAAAAATGTAACGTTACATTTTTAGCTCCTGTTCCATAATGTTAAAACTAAATGACCTGAAATTTGGCATGGGAGATCCTTGGATACAATCCCACAGAACGTCATTTGCGCTTTTGGCGTGTGTTTAAAATTATGTAAAATGGGACGTTATTGCTATTGTACATTTTTGGCTCCTATGCGCTAATACGAAAACCGAATGACCTGAAATTCAGTATAAAGGTAGCTTGGCACAAAATGCTTAAACTATATATATAGTGAGGGCCTGCAAGGGGGGGGGGGTCCCGACAACGCTCTACGCTGAATCGGAAACCTCTCAATTACGCTTTACGATAAATTCCAAGTGGTTACAGTGCATAACGTAGATTTAAAATGGCAAATACGCTGTACGCAAAATACGCCAATTACGATTTACGTTGAATTAGAGTGGTCCGTCTACGCTCTACCTAGAATTAAAACGGCCGATTACGCTCTACGGAAAAGGGATTGCGGGCTCTAACTGCGCTCTCTTTGCGACCTGAAATTGTGGGAGCGCGGAGAGAGTGCCGTGCTTAAGTGGAAGCTCTTTCTGCGCTCTCTGCGCGACAAAAACTCAAATGCCAGCAACGTTTAACGAATTACGGAAATATAGAACGAAATGTTATACGTTTTGTTTGCTTTATATTTTTCATTCTTGTACATTCTACATCATAGTTAGATTATGACATCAAGGGTGTAAGGTGTAATTTCACTAGGACGCTGTCACTGCGCTCTCACTGCGCTCTCTATGCGACCTGAAATTGATCGGAGAGCGAAGAGAGTGCTGTGAGAGCACCGAGGTCACCATGTTCTGTATCTTATATATCTATAATATTGGGGCCGTTGTGCGCTCATATGGCGCTCGCTCCGCGCTCTCACGGCGTTCTCACGGCGCTCTCACGGCGTTCTCACGGCGCTCATTGTTGCATCGCCGTCCTTGGAACTCTCACGGCGATGGAATGACCCGGTTAGAAACGGTGACGGCGCTCATGGCGCTCTCATTGCGACCTTGGCGCTCTGTCCGCGCTCTGGCCAAATTCAGGTCGCAGAGAGAGCGCCGTAAGAGTGTCGTCTAAGTGGAATGGGGGTATTAGGACAGACAGAAACACAAATTCACGATTCAGCCACCCAAAACAATACTTCCGTACCCGGAATAGATAATATCGGAAGTGTCACTCCCGGAGAGGTAGTTATTTCATGACTACATCACCATGGTTACCCAACTGCCATATCATACAACAACACAGGAGACGTCGTCTGACTTACCCGTCGTCTGACAGATGAATTTGGCTGTTTTGTACGAGCACGGCAGGTCATTCCATCCCGTCTTTGGTACAGACTGGTAATGCGCACAGTCTTCCTTTCCGTTGTGATTATCGGGTTGTCCGGGGCGCCAGTTAGTCCAGTCCGCAGACTTGTTGAGAATAGTCCCGTCCTCCCACCTCCACTGACCCTCCCTGTTCTCGTCACTCAGACCAAACCAGAAATAGCTCCCGGAATCCACCGCGTTCTTTAGCCTCCACAGAAAGTCGTCTGTCTTCTCGTCTTTGGGCATGGCCAAGAGTCCCCCCTTGCCGACACAAAACTGCCTCGCCTGGTTGTAGGATGCTGTTTGCTGGTACACCTTGAAGCAGGCTCCCCCGAACTTAGTAAAACCATCTGGACAGCCTGTTAAGAGGATCATAAACGTATTGTTCATCTTCTCTCCGCGGACAAACCGACACACAAACCCACAGCTCAGCCACCCAAAACACTACTTCCGTACCCGGATCTAAAGGCAAATCCACGTTAAGAGTCACGCACATGCATTAATATTGTAAATCTGCCAAGTCACGTCTAACTGTATTCTCGACGACTTTGAAGTAAGCGACTGGAGTCTAATGCTGGCAGCTTAACAAGTTGATAACAATCTTGGTGGAAACACATGTATACACACTATGCCGTGTGCTATCAGTTGATATTGTCTCTCTAATTTTGCAAAATTGGGAGGTCCCTTACAGTTTTCTATCTACTGTATATTGAGTGTAAATGATATAAAAACGGCAACCATTGGAGCAACCATAAACAATACCTTTCAGTCATAGCAATAAAATACTATAAAGCCTTTGGGACTTTAACATGTGCCTGGGAAATGTTTCCTTGTCTGTCTAAATTTATTATTTATTATTTGTTTGGAGGAGTCAGCCTTGTCAAAGGATTACATGTATATCCTGTTTGCTGACTCCTCCCAGTTTCTTTCTGAAAATCCCAATAAATAAAAATAAATAGATAAATAAAACTCTCCCTGATCACAGTGCCATACTTCCATACTTTTCCTGTGCACATCGTGATGACCACTGACACATCAAGCATCACTGCAACCATGGCCCCTGTCACGTTTTCGCAACAATATCACCGGACGCATGTCGCAGGTTTGAGAAGGTTTGCAATAGTTCGCTTTTTAAACTATTTTTTATCAATCCTACGGTGTATGGCACGATCGTCGTAGCTGCGTCGTACCACGGCGACTTTTGACAAAGTAACTTCTAGCAGGTCATTTTATTCAAGACGCCACTTACCTGCAGATGAGCAGGATGTTCCGAGTACCAGGAAAAGCAAAACTACCAACACCGCCCATCGCGCACCTCTGTCTGTTGCCGTCATGTTTGGTTTAGCTCATGAAAATCTCGATATGGGTCTTTGAAGGAAGAGGTTGGAAATATCGGCTATACGTCTACTCAGACAACTGAGACTAGAGAACCCTTCAGTCTTCAGTTATCAGACTGGTGGTTCTTGCTGAAGTGGGCGGAAGGGAGAGAGAGCAGTCACGAGGAAACAGAAGGGCAATCGACATTAAATCATGAAAGAGGGGTGCCAGCGGCAAGGACTTTTTTTGTAACCCGAAATCCAACCACTCAATCCCAGTTCATACATAGTTGTCGAAATCCTGAAGAAATGGTGTTCGGCCCACTGTGACTTTTAAATATTTTCCCATTCAAGGTCTTGGTCATATAAAAAGCAGTTTCAAAGTGCGTCCACTCTTATATAACAGAATGTACATAGATACTGTATACGTACAGGAAAGCCGTCTGATTTCTTAGAAAAGACTCCATTTTAGGCATATAAGTTTACAGTGAAAAAAGCACAAGTAGATTAAAGGTCCGGGTAAGCAATTGCTTGTATGAGTTCAATGGAAAGGCTTTCAGAGCAAGTAAGTCAAACCAACAATCAAGTATTGCAGAGCTTACATCCCGAATATGTTGTATGGGTCTATTATATTATATTATATTGGGTCTATTATATTATCGCCCGTTGACTTTTCCAAGTACTAGTAGTTTTCAAGTAATTCCGGTCGTGCTGGCCAATGGGCACAACGCCACATCCGTCTGTAGGTAGCTGATAACGATAGGAACGCTTGTGTGGTGGGTATGGGGGGGGGGGGTAGTCATGCACTGTCTAGTATGGTTGGCTTATTCTCCGGTCCTCTGCAGAGTGCGTTGAACTTGTCCTGATTTAGTAAACCACTCAGCTCTGCTAATTTGATTCTTTAAGATTTCCTCACTAGATACGTGCTAGTAACTTGACGTTTCGGTGTGCATGATTTGTAACGCAAAATAATTGGTTCATATTTTGACGATTCAAACCCGGTAGAGAAAATAGAATCACCACATTAGATTACTGTATTGCGCTAACCCGATGTCATTGGTCGATGACCACCACAGACACGCGTGACGTCACTTTCTCTTGACCTTCTCTGTTGCCATGACAACCGGCAGATTTTGTCGTCCATTGTACTGGCTACGTCAGTCAGCCTGCGTGTTACGTCTGCCACTAGTTTCAGTCTGTAGGATATTTCGGCAACAATGGAGCACCATCAATTCAACGTTTAAAGATAGTTCAGGACTATGAAACGTTATACAGTGGTCTACCAATACTAGGTAAAATTCAACACTACCGCTATAGCTAAAGGCGTGTTTTTCCATGATATTGCATTCGCATTGCCGTCAAGATGTAGTGTCGCTGTTGATAACAATCGCGTGATGTGATTGCTGTATTGATCAATTATGCAACACACTGTTGCTATCCGGGACGTACGGAAGACATATACAAACACTGGCCCATACAGGATGGCAGTTGTGCCGACGTTCCGCATTTCCCCTTCAAGCCTCATCCTGCCTGGTACATCTCTACCATATCATAGCGGCAAAAAGCATCATTTTTCGAGGTAGAATACGAACCATTCATATGGAAACGTTTAAACTTTATTACATATCCATGGTTTGGTAGTATGAGAAGGATATATGTCGATACTATTCTCTATTTGACTGTTGCATTCATTGTTGAAGGAAGCAATGGACAATAAAAAATACAAGTTCATTTGATTCCCGCAAACTTGATGCGTATTTCTGGGGCCTCTTACCCAGGAGGTACCCTTCTTACTTAAACATACATTGAAACGTGTTCTCAGATTAGAATCGTTATAAGTATTATCTACACGTTGTAAGAAATCTAGTGCTGTACAGATGCATTTTCCTGGTAGTATCTAAATAAAAAAAGTCTGAACTGTATAGTATGAACTATAGTATGAACTAGAACTATAAAACCTGTAAATACGAGTACATACATGCTAATAATGTAGACATTCTATGGGGTTTGTGGTTAATTTACATATGAGAATTTTTTGTACTGTTATAATAAAAAGTTATATAAAAAGTGTTTTGTAAAATAGTCTCACATGTTCTGCCCAGTGATTGTCCACGTATAAAAACCAAGAGAATTACAACATTTCTCATCGGCCTTTTCTTGCCTTGGTCCTATATATATGAAATGCCTTCCAATTCATAAGGTAGGACACAGGAGAATAGACATAGGCATATACTATCGTTTCATACACACGCACTTCCCAAAACTATCCCTAACATCAAGGTATAACTTCCTTGCTAGCATAGATCCCAGTCGTATGAATAACTTCAACTGCTTCGAATTCATTCGCTTCATCACGGTTGAGAAGAAATGTCGATCTGTGAAGCGAATCTGTATCGGATTAGCATCTACTTGATGCTATTGGCTGACTTTAGGACAGCCGAAAAGACACGATCATCATTCATGGCTCTAAGTTTACCAGCCGGAACAGACTACTGTACCCCAGCGGTATAAACTTACCAATTCATCCCTTCCTTTTCAGCCAGAATTTCTTTCTTTCCTTCCTACATACGAAAGCTCGCAAATCCACGCGAGAACACCATGAAACTGTCACGTGACTTCAAATCCATCGATCACTGCGAACTTCTCGAAAAAAAATACTAGTACATGTAGCACAAACGTTCGTACATTGATGTGCTATAATATAAAAAGAGGTGTACTAGAAAGCTAGATGATTTCAGGAAATTTGTTATCCTGTCCTGATGTCCGCTAGATGAGCCTCTCCATGGGCGGGAGGGGCATGAGGTCCGTGATCCCGATGACCTGTGCCCCTGCCTTCTTCTCCTGCGCGCTGGGGTTGTACGAACCCTTGGTGGCGCGGCGCTTCTTCGTCATACAGAAGCAGTAGATGAGGGCGATGAGGAGGAGGAGAGCAATGATGCCGAAGACGACGCCTAGGATGATGGCCAGGTCGTCTTGTCTGTCTGGCACAGGCACCTGTGAACAAAGGAAATTGTTAGGTCAGAAAAACAAGTATTGTGCAATTCACACGGAAAATGTACGTCAGAAAACTTTTCTAGGAATTCTTCCAGGTATCAACATACTTACTGGTCCACAATTCTCTTCCTCAATACACTCACAGCTGACGAACTCTTGTAGCCCATACACCATCCTGGTGCAGTTCGACGTACAAGTTAGCGTTGAGTTTGAGCAACTTTCGAAGGAAGCGCACTGGGTAGGTGCAGGGGCGCCATCTAGCGGGCAATCACAGCGGGTGCTCGTCGCGTTGTACTGGCAATTCCCAATACTTTGGCACAGGTTGTCACATATAGTGGAGCGCGCTGTGGAAACAGCAGTGCTCAAGTCTGTGGAAAGTGTGCTCAGTTCTCTCGAGATTGTCGTAAAGATCGATGACGCTGTAGAACCATTGGTCACGGTTGGAGCGATCGTAGCTGTAGTTCCATTGGTAACCGCCGGAGGGATCGTTGATGCTGACAGGGTCGGTTGACCAAAAACGGTTGTGTTTGGTAGTAGAGTCGGTGTTATTTCAGTGGCATTGGCGGTTGTTGTGTTGGTCATCATGTCCGTTACAGCTGAGGTTATGTTGGTCACAACGTTCACTATTGTGGACGTTATGTTGTCCGGTATGAGCGGTGATAGCGTTGAGCCACTGCTGGACGTCGGGAAAACCGAAGACCCTGCAGTTCCATTTGTCGCCGAAAGGCTTGGATCAGTGGGAAGTACCGTTCCTGTCGTGTTCGCCATTTTCTACAGAAGGTAACAAAAAGAGGAGTTTATGTTAGCTTGCATGGCGTGCTACTTACTAGTATTCTAACAAAAATTCATATTGGGTCGGAAGATGACTTAATCTCGCATTTGCTGAACAAGAAAGACTTGCGGAAGATATATTTTTGTGTTTTCGTGAATGTGTTGGAAGTTGGAACCATGTAGGGGATTGTATGATGTTATCTAATGGTGTATTACAGTACTTCATGATTTCCTCCACATAGGCCACACTCCGGTGTGTGCTGGCTTGACCCCCTTTGACTGTGAAAACCACCTCCATCCGGTCCTCCGTGCAACTGTCACGGCAACCATGACATCAAACAGTCAAACTCACAAGTCAGCCACACAAAACGATACTTCCGTACCCGAAATAATTATCAGTAGGGACACTACTATGGACCAGCAAGCAACACACACACACACACGCGTTATAGCTTAGCCCAACACTGGCAATTCCTTGCTGTCCTGTCCTTGCTATCCTCATCTCAGGGATAACGAGCTACAGTTGCCGAACGACTGCCTTTCAGCGGCCCTGAGAGAAGGTAGAACAGAGGAAGTAGATTATCAGCTTCGGAAAGTCCTCGCTCTTCGACACATTCCACATGTGTGACCATTTAAGGTCGGTCTTGATTACGGAAAGCGGAAAGAAAGGAACGCAACATTTCCAAAATGTATCCGACTGGGAATATGTAAAATCTGTGTTTTTGCAGTTCTCTAGCCTCCTGTCTAGTACATACTGTCACGTCCGCGGGATACTCACTCATACTTACACATGCTGTCTACATAGATCACTTTATCTGCAAGATATCTGGATTTTTTTCAATGATGAATATCATGAACGACTAACATAGTTGAGTATCTGATATTGACCGTGGAATGCCTGATCTGAGCTACTGTGAGGTAACACGGTTGTTTCGAGTCAACTGCTAAAATGGGCATCACACATCAGCATAAAGTGCATTTATCACTGAAAGGGCTGACAGTTGCCTGGTACAACCAAATTTGCTTGGTAACTAAGGAGGTGAACGTTCTCCCTAAGACTAAGTATCGTCCCACCCACAGTCTGTTTATTTTGTCTCCCTCCAGTTCCGAGAGAAAGCGACACGCCATTTAGACGCCCTGACCATGACCTTGGGGTGTAACAGACATTCCTGAACAACGTCTTGAACACATCCACCTGTTCAGGCCTGTTCCTTGGGACAGGGCGAAATGGTACTTAAAGAGAACTAATGAAGCAGAATTACCTCGATTGACATTGAACGAAGCCACTGTAACCACCCAGTAGCAGGTCAGACGCCGGAGAACCGAGTCGTTGGGCTGCGGTCACATTCGTCGTAGACCATCGTATGACCGATGCCGTATAATGTCTGAGAAGGCAGAACCAACCGCCCACAACGATCTAAGACAGCCTTTTCAACGCAAAACAGTTGAATTTTGTATACGACAAACGCACGACTATCTTAAGAATGCCTTTGGTTTGAGATCGCACGGCGATAGTGTGACGAATGTGACCGGGCACTTATGTTCCAACTCAAAGACAGTTTCTGGGGGTAATGTGTACCAGCTACCTCTCTTATCTTATCTCTGTGCCCCTCGGGAAGGGTCTGACCGCTTATCTGTCACTGTATTTAGTTTGTTAATAACGCGTACAAATGAACGGTCCATATTGTACCCCACCCGCTACTGGAGAATGTCATGGTCGTAAATTTTTGAAAAGAAATATCCATCTTAGCAGAACAAAGTAAGCAGTCATGAAAGCTCTTCGCTCGAAATTATATTTTCGATGTTTCAAGAAAAATATTGTTCTACTACTAGTATTTCCACCGCACAATTTGTGGAAGACAGTACCCCAATTGCTTATGATACGGAGTTTGGTTTAATTTGAGAACGACAGCTATCGCATCGCCCTCCCTCCACGTTTTAATAAGACTGAAGAACCTTGGAGACTCATTGTTTCCGCGCCTGAGAAGGTGCGAGTGAAGAAGGACAGTACGGCACAAGCATGTGGCCTGGATGCCGCGCCTTCATGTCAGCTAATTGGCGTTTAAGTCGCTGAGGGTAAACATTAGGGTAGAGTTCCGACAAGGGAAGGCGGTTTCCGTTAGGTACAATACAGACCTGTCCTCCTGGGACCCAGTTCGACTAGCCGGCGTTTGCGCTGTGATGAGGAAACTTGGAAAGGTGGTAACTTACAAGGAAAGTAAGGAGAAAGGGAAGTTTTCATCATGTCAGCTTTATCTATTTGTTGAGAGACGCCCTTCCTCCCAGGAGCAAAAGGAACAAAATAACCCCCAAGACACGGAAACGTCTCAGTTTCTTCACTAGTGTTTACTTGGCGTGCGTTTCTGACATATTGTTAAACTTTAGTAAACTTTAATAGACCATTTCGGTGGAAGATAACACAGATCTAGATCAAACCGGACCTCTACGAGATTCAGTCGAGCATCATGACAGACAGCCAAACTATCCCTTGTATGTTTTTTAAAACATACACGGGATAGTTTGGCTGTTTGTCATTTGTTTTCAGGGTGGTCCCTAAGGAGAGATGATAAACTTTAAATTTGTATCATATTCATCTCTGTGCACCTCCCCCCCCCCCAAACTAACCACCGTATCCGCAACAATATATTAGTACATGATTATCCCAATAATGGCTTTACTTTGCGATCGTACGACGACGGTAGGACATATTGACCAGGACCTAAGATGAAACATGAATGGTCGACTTCAGCTTCGTGTTATTAAAACTACACGGAGATAATCTAACGGGTTAACCATGCAGTTAGAAAATATTTCAAATACTGGTCGTGCCCGGAGCCCACCAAACCAACCATATCAAGAACAGTTCGCCCTCGTCAAAGAGCCTTGACGTAGCCTTGGTGTAAACAAGATCGCCTGATACGGTGGCATCGGGAAGGTTATCAAAATACAGGGTTCGCAAGAAAAATAACTGTTGTCTTTTGGAGGGATTAGATGAAATGTAAGCCTCCCTGGCGATCTACTGCAGGCGGTGTGGCTCAAATTAAGCCCAGCTATTTCGATATGGTAACGATGTATATGTGTCATCTAAATCCTTCGCCAGGCACGCTGAAATGATAGGAATTTTAACAAACTATGGCAGGACACCACGGTGAGAGTATAGACTTTCCAGTCACGGCGGTGCAGTCGTGTCTCTTATGTCATCGACCCCTGATAGAATGGCGCCACTGATGCCACGACGTGGACAGCGCCGTAAAGCAGCGTGGGATACATCGCTGTAATATTTTCAAAGGGGATCTTACAGAAGTACTGGATAACTCGGTAAGCAAAACTAATTTTTGTAAAACAGTAGGTGTTAAAAAATCAGTTTCCATCATTCTCTTCAGAGAACGAATTTATATGACACCTGTTCCCTCAGAGAAAGGGTCATTTTCGTGATAAGCAACAAAATATATAGCACGGACGAACTCTCAAATGAGACAATATATATATATATATATCTTACCGTAAGCCAATTATGTTTTTGAGGTAGGTCACTCCCTGGGAGAAACACAAATATTTTATCTGCTTGATAAACTAATATATCATAAGCTAATTAACAATTACAATCAATGTTTTTCTTTAGTTTATTTGTCCAACACCATATCGGTATCCTACTCCTAAAATAAACTTCCTCCCACACGTAGTCTACATTATGAAGATACCATTCCCGTTACGATATAGTCAGACTGTACATCACTATCGCACTTCCAATGATAACCTGGTTTAGTATAGTCAGTAAAAGTACAAATATCTACAAGTACAGGGACAAACTACCCTAGCTGTTTCTTAATGTGACGATATCGCATAGATATCGGCATATACTAATTACAATGTGTACCAATGTTAGGAATGACTAGTCACATTAAAGTGCGGCACAAAAATATACATAAGATCATATGTCTACCCAGGGAGGTACCCCAGCCCTACTCCCCCTCTCAACGCCCCCTCCTCCCTAGAGCTTTATATGTTATTCTGGTCTCTCTAAGTCTTTTTAGGCATTCTCTGTTAGAAGACAACAGCCCCAGTTGAAGTGAATCTTACCTATATGGCCCAGTTCCTCTGTCTGAGTGATCTGTACGTACATGTAAGACAAACACCAGTTTTGTCACAGCCTTGTCACAGGTCACTGTGTCGTCTGTCACAGGTCACCGCGTCATCAAATAACACATCACCTTTGTTCTCACGGTAACATTGTTCATTCATGATGCTGTAATCTTCCAAGTTACTGTAATTTTCCACGTTTCTAGCATCATTATCATGGATACACTGATCAGCTTGCGTCACGAACCTGGATGTACCCATTGTCTACTCCCTTTAACACACAAACTGGAAACTCGCAGTCTCGCAGTCATGATAGGGGCGGGCTTTACTATTTCCCACTATTCGGCACAGGTACACACACCTATAAGTTACCTAGCATGGAGTCCGGTCTTCTTACTTTCAACGGCAGCTAAACTGACAACTTCTGGACTCCAGGCTACCTACAACCCCCATCCCCGCAGCTACCCCTTCAGGAAAACACAACCCTCGGTTCGTCTTATGTCATACCACAGGATCAAAGGAATAAATTATTTCAAGCGGCCTTTGTCTGTTACGTATACTCGCGGTAGATCGAGGATTTCCACGTTACACGGTGTAGCAAAGCTCTGTGTCATCAGTAGTATCTGCGGGGATTCGTTTATCTCTTATGTGATAATCTGACGCGTCGGCAGCCCCTCTTTCAGAAAATACCACCGTTATCTCGGCAGGGAACGCATAGTGTTCTGTAACAGACATTGGGAAACCCATGTTAAGAGTGAGGGGCGGACCTGTGCAGAACGTCTGACACATCTGGACTATCTTGTGCATGTTTATCTACAAGACGCCATCACGACGACCCAATTTCCCACATAGCTCGACATAGACCAGACATTGTAGAAACCAACGTGCTTCACTGTTCTCTGAGTAGATCACAGGGACCGACAGCTAACCCGCCGTTTTAAACGTTAACGCACGTTTCTCAGGTAACTTAACTGTTGTACTCACGTCGTAGGCGTACTTACATGGGAAACCACCCAACCTTTTTTTTTCGGGGAAAGTCACTTGGCAGAGTTGTGCAGTTGTCTCTTCCTGTGTGCCTAAGGCCGGATGTTTACAGGAGCCAGGTAACTTGATCAACGAAACACCTCTGTACCGAGAAGCACACGCCGATTAGCCGTCAATAGGGGGATACCAACCGCATGCTTGCCTGATGCACTTACGGTGTTCTATTTTTCACAGATGGTCGTTGGTCTATTATGGTAGCATTCAGCTATCAATTATTTAAGCGGCAATTGTAACGTCGGTGGGCCGTGCTTTTATGGGCCAAATTCTAATATTTTCTCGAAGAGACCAGAATAGAGTCTAATTACATTTTTTTACCTGACGTGCACAACAGTCGACTTTGAAAAGGGGACAACTTCGGAACAAAAATTCAATAGGGCGTGACCTTGAATTTTGAACAGCCATCTGTATTATCATCATATACGAGTACTATTCACAAGATTGCGCACTATTGTCAAATAGTGTAGTAGTTGGAAGGGGGTAAGCTGAGGGTACTGTACGAATCCAATGGTGCTAAACGGTCCCTCGGACTTACGTGGACCGGCCATGGGTAAACAACTTCAGGAGAAACTCTAGAATTTATGTCTGTCTTTTACGTCTGTCCGTTCTGCTAATAAACGCCGTGAGATGATGAAAACTCGGCAGTAAAACAACATGGGTATCACATGTCACTGTCAGTAAGCTTCTAATAGTGTTTGAACATGAACCACATACTTTCCTTCCGTTTTTCCTTTACTTTAAATCCGGTATGCTTATCAACTCCAAGCTGATATAAGTTAGACTCTGTAAACGTCTTTTCGCCCGATGTCTATCCTTTTCTACCAAGCTAGCAGGCCAAGCTATATACCAGTATACCCAAGGAAAAGCTGATAAGATAGAAAGCCAGACAAAACGCCTACTGAACGTCCCAAACAAACCTAACTTCTGCTTGGAGAGAGAATACGCCTGTCAGATGAAAAGGTTGTTCATGATGACAAGAACCACACCATAACATGAAAGACGCCCCAAACAAGATAGCTTAATATCCCTGGCACTCGATCCTTTTCCTGCCCACATACACGCCCTGGTTCTACCTATAGTCTAAGTCAGGTGATGAACGTTTTATCCCCACCCTTCTACCCTTTCCCTCACACTGGCGCTGGCCCGAATCAATCACGCCAGTCCCGGGCACATTCCAAGGACGCGCGCCGTGACTGGAGCTAGGGTTGGCAGCCCAGGACACGCCGTCTCCACGCACCGTCAGATGCACGGTATTCTCATAACCATGAAACAACGCAATCCCGGTGTCGTCTCGTCAAATGTCCAAGAATTCGTGTTTATTCAGTACGGTTATTACTGTTGCTAGAAGAAACTATAGCTGTCAGCGTTTGCTGTCATTCCTGTGCCAGCAGGGAAGGCTATCACTGATACCATGTCCTCGGGGGTTGAACTTGAGGTGGAGGCCTCCAGGATTGAATGTCAGCTGAGATCTGTTTTTGGTTAAGTTGCTGATGAAAACCGTCCTACAGCCACAGGCAAAAATGCAGCTCTCACTAAAAATGTCTAAAATGTTTATAAATCTGGCGGAAATGGATAGAATACGACATAATACTATAACCATGCCGATGTTATGATAACATCATATTTATAAATTTACGGGTGTGTCATGGCATTCCCATTCGGCTCAGGGGGAGTTTTATATATATATATAAACCTCATGGCAATCCTTTCAACATTCCTCTGTTGTTACTGTATACAGGTAAAGCCGCTGGGAACCTGCATACCTTATCCGGCCCACTGCTTAGCTTTTCTTTCTCGTCCAACTCATTTCACAAAAGCGAAAGATGGTCAAGTAAAACATCTGACAAAATTAAAAGTACTGGTGATTTTTTGTTGTCTTGGTCAGTCCTCGTTGAATGGTAAAGATGTCTGTAAGTACGTATCAAACATTGTCAGTTTTCGAACGTGACGAAACATGGGCCTATATATACCTATTAAAGACCCTATTTCCACTAGACAGCAATTGGGTAGTTGTGTGTCCCTTGGATAATATGATGCAAACTGTAAATAAAGCATGGTTCACAAGACAACAAAACTTAGAGAAAATTGTTCTTTATCTAACATGAAATTCGCTAAGCGATCTGTCAAGTCTGTGGGTTCTCAGCGAGCGGTCGCTTAGCTAGTGAAAACGGGGTGCAACTGATTTTCGGATTGTCTACCGAGCACTAAGGACGTCTACTTATGAGGTAGTTAGGGCCAATGGAAGGGTTAGGATTAGTGGGTCGCACACTGAATTAACATTCCCTTTCGGCATCGTTAGGCGGTTCGAGCGGCAAGATTTTTATCACTCTCCACATTTGCAGCTGTCTCGTCAGCTTGACAGTTGTTAAAAACCGCTGATGACAATAGCACAGCTGTAGTAGTGCTGAACCTACTAATGCTTGTCTACTACAATACTATCTCAATAGACATTTCCTATCACTGTATAAAACACAAAGAGAGCCGCGGCGTATCGTTGTCTGCTTACAATACATTGTTTAAAGGTCCCTCACGTGTTATGATTACATTTTTTATGAAAGTGAGTGAAGACAAATATACACCAGTTCCCCGTTCATGGCGGACCAAGAACCAAGACGATCTGTTAACTGCTGAAGGTGAGATCAGATCTTTACGCCGAAGCTAGTACCCGTGCCTGTACGGTCTTATTTTGATCTCATTGTTTAAGACCAAGGCCAGTGTTCTTTCTTGTTACACATTTTGCGCACAGGTACGAATGAACTGACCAACGTCACCTGACGAGGAATCGTGTATGGAAAAAAATACCTGACTCACAGACACCAATAGAAGCGCACCCATGCAAGCATAAAGAGTCAAACATACCTATTTACACTGTACGCACTCCCGGTGTCCGATCTACCTGTGGATGTTGTGGCTTCCGAAAGGTTTAAGATCCGTATTTCTCACGATCTGCTGGCCCGATCACTGTGGACAGCAAGTACAATGAGTACAGTTACAGTTCAAGATCAAGTATGCGAACTCGCCGTGAATCTAATGAAGGTGAACAACTGGCTTGCAGCTTAGGGAAGCCTTGCCCGAACACCGCCGTCTTGTAGACTGAAGACTCCACCGTTGTTACCACGTACAAGCTGAGATTCTTTTCGTCCAAATAACTTGGACACACCTTTGTAAATATTTACTAACAGAGAGTGAGGCAATCGTCAGGCAGGAAAGTTTCCTCTTTTTTGACACCGACGTGGGGAGGGGAGGGGGTAGCATCTCTGCACTGTTTTGGACCGGGAGCAGGGCAGTATATTTTGTCTGTCGCGCTGACAGCTGTCACAAACGATGTCTTTTATGAGTCGTTTATAAGACTTGATACCGACTTCCTTTCTCTCTAGTGTAAAAAGGATCACAAACTTCCAACTGACAGAAATAGTTTACTTACCTGAAAGGAGAACTTCCACACGAACGTTCAGAAGACCGCGGAAGCCCAAAGTTGTGACTACACCATGTTATTGTCACCCGGTTCTGTGAATCATGACCGAAACACGCTCAGAACGAGCAGGTTATTGGGTCGTGCGATTACGGTAGAGGGGTGGGCAGCATCAATACTTTCCTTTCGCATGTTCAGTGTGGACTTTTTTCGACAGTTTAGGGAGAAGTAGGACGATGATATTGGAATAAACCCTAATATTTATCTGTATATGACATTAAACCGCTTGCTATACACTGCTATTGGGACAGTGAGGTGTAATAAAATTGGAACGACACCGGCCGCAGTCTAATCGCCCGCTTAATTTGCATACAGTGACGTCCCTTGAACAACCGGTCACTCCCCCTAAAGGTGTATTCACAGAATGGCCGGAAGTCACTAGGAATGCGGACGCAATTGTTGTCTGTGTACAAAACCCCCCGATTACCATTGAGTGATTACGACATACGGCAGGGCTTCTTCTTTATAAGGAAATGGATTCAAACAACGCGCAATGCATCATTGTTCCGCTTTGCATACATGGGACATTTTTAAACTTCTGAAATCTACCGATCGGCGTGACAGGCTCTGCTCTGATGAATCTCTTACAAATTTACATATGGTAACAGTTACTGCTTATTAAATAGAATTTTAAAAAATTACTTTGTATTTCTATTGTGCAGTTGACCGTATACAAAAAGGTACTGTGTTTTTGTTGTTGTTGTTGTTGTGTCAATAGTTAATTCTTCTTCTTCATAAAGCCCTGTTCTCCAATATTTAACTTACACAACAAACAGGTATATATGAAAGGGAAGAAGTTGACATTATACGAACTAAAGTAAAAGAGACCGAGATGAAATGAACTAAAATGATAAAATCTGATAATGAAACTTAGCAGTAATATTATACACCCTAGGGGACACGGTCGTACTAGTATATTGCTCATGGACCTCAAATATATACTTGTAGTCTCTACCAGACTAACTCCGCTGCTGGCTATATATAGGAGAATATTTGCCAGGGGAGTTTGACCACCGTGGTTTGGCCGCCTAATACTCCCTAGTCGGACTGGCTGCGCGGGAAAGAAACAACCTTCCCGCGGCCGGATTCCCTCGGCCAATTTTACTCTTTTTTGCCAAATTGTACGATAGAAAGAAAGGCCTGGTGGAGGCTATCAAATATATACCAGTATACAATTTATATATGATACCTTCGGCTTGATGGCGAACTGCACAGAAAGAAAGCAAGTCCAGTCAGTTTCGCAAAGTGGCTCTGTATGGACTAGTCTGCAGGTATGCCTAGGTCTAATCTCCAAGCAGATGTATCGGTGGCCACAAAAACAAATACTAGTAATTGGGTGGGAAATGGATACAGTCTGGCTGATGGATACTGCCTGGCCAATTTGATACTATATTTTGCGGCCACTGAAACATCTGCTTGGAGATTAGCCTCGGTCTACCCTCAGTACTTCATAAGGGGGAAATTATCCGTCATTCTTTGCGACCCAGCCAACTCCATCTGGGCCTGTACAACAAGTAATTAAGTTGGAAACCCTAGAAATTCTATCAGAGTAAATAAATGTAACTAAAGCATGCATATTCTGATTAGAAAACACCAACATTGTAATCTTAAACGTTTAGCTCAAAACGATGTAAATCGCATGCATAGTTTGTGTTTATTACCCAAAGAATACGACTTTTGGATATTCTCTTGATGTCCGGTTATGTAGAAGAGACGATCACGGTGATTCAGACGTAGAATTCGATTAGATACTAGTACATTCAGTCATGATCCACCTGTTCCAGGTGGTTATCAGTAACACCTGTATGTGCCGCGTTCGTAATTTCCGCTGCCACAGCCTAGCAAGCAGGCAGTCAGAGAAGACAACAGCCATATGCATAGTGTGCGCGAGGTTAAGTTGTCAGACTCGTCTAGGTGAAGAAACTGTAACAAAAATGTCGCTCCTCCTGCGTCTTGTGGTGGCACTTGTTCTCGGAGGGCGAACGTGTGAGTCTGCGGCGCTGGGTGCGTCTGGGCCCGGGGCAGATGGCGGGGTGGCACCGGAGGACATGGCGGTCATACGGGAGTTGGAGGAACTGAGCGAGAAGATACACATGGCTGCGAAATTCACCAAGGAACACCAGTCACAGGCGAGAGTAGGTAAGTAGGCCATATTTCTGTGTTAAATGTGAATATAACCTCATTTCGTAGACAGACTCACTAAAATAAATGATGCACCCGTGATTTGAAAACATACATTGTGGAAACACAACATTGAACAGATGATCTCTATATGCATCGTTGATAAATCATTTAGAAAAGCTAGGAGCTTCACTGAAGTATTCACATAAGTTGTCAATGAAATGTCGACTTGACATTCAAAATGATATGTTGTATTGTACGTAAGCATGCAATGCAAAAATAGTAGACCAAAAATAGTAGACAGTGGGGAATGTTAGAATGGAAGTAAATTAGCATCATGCCTTTCGATTGTGATTGTTTATTTTTGTTTGTTTATTATGCATTATGTGATAAACATAATATGAACATAATATATGAAATTATCTGCCCTAAGTGTCACTGGATAGTGAGCGGCGAGAAGAGACATTTGACAGAGAGGAATATGAAGCACCCGACAACACTACTGAAACCCCTCTTGTGGAAACAACTGCTTCATTATCGTCTGTGACAGTGAATACGTCCGTCACGACGTCATCGCCAACTGGGACTACATCGGCTGGATACACCTTGTTGGAGGCGATTTCAGCTGTACTGTCAACGGCCACGTCAAACACGTCTGGGCCAGTGACGTCAAATACCACATTTGTACCCTCTGCAGCAAATACTAACAGCACTTCAACCTCCGCACCGCCCGAGGTACGTAACGGTATCACAATGCGGTTCACGGTTAGAACCGTGCATGCGTGAAGTCAAGGGTGAAGGTCTCTAACTTGTAAACAGTTCTTGTTTAGACCTTGCTGTATGATATATGATAGATCCATATAATCCTATGTCCAGTCGTGTATGGTTCTTTCCCAGTGCCTTCAACTTTGACATATTACCCGCAATACATCACGCTGCGCATGCGCTGGTAATACCGCTTATTGCTATCTGCTTATTTGTTAGTAGTGTAAGCACAGAAGTAGCTTCTTCTTCCATTTCTTTACTCATAGCTTGGAAATGACATCGACAATGGATCACCGTCCATAGGACAAGATATTGAGAACAACATCATAAATCCTGTACTCCCCGAAGAAAACTATCTGCCGAACAACATCGGGGAATTCAAGGCACATATTGGCAACGTCGGTAGGTGTCGCTGTTATCTTAGTTGGGCGTCTTTCAGCAAAGAATAAAGTTTACAGAAGGATATTGATTCAAAGACAACAGTTGTCGCTATAAAAAAATAACGGTAAGAAATTTTGACAAGGCTGAAATCAATTGCGTATACTAGTATACATCAATAGTCAATAACATGACTTTAACTGCATTCTGAAGTGACAAAATGAATCAATGATATAGTCTCCCTTGTTACTGCTTTGACAATAACTGTGCCATTTCCCAGCCATGTATCTCAGTCAAGTTTTGCCACTGCATGAAACCCGATATTTAAGCAGACCTGAAAGCATGGGTAAAGGTTCCAGTTTTCATTCGACTTAAAGCATGCTTTAAGGCTTAAACATCGGATTTCATCGGCAGTGATGATTGTATCTATATCAAGTTACGTCAATGAAGGTTAGACATCCAGGTAATAAGATACGCCAAAAAGCAGTTACTCAAACAACTGGATCCAAAATCATATCCGATTGCTTGAGTAACTGCTTTTTGGCGTATATCAAGTTGCGCCAGAAGATGTGGACAGGCTGCACTCCCAGGCGGAGCCGGTGGTACATCAGCCCCTGCACGGTCCTAATGAACAGCCGGCAGGGGGCGACTTCCTGTGTCCTGACCGGTACTACAGGTGAGGTTTCATCGCTTTCAAACTCAAGAAGATACCTTACGCTTATGTTACAACTGTACGAACAAATGACAAGGAAGACAGTCTGGTGATGTTCAATACTTTGTCAGGGTTGTTCGTACTGTCTTATCGGGATCATGGCAGTTTTAATTAAACGTTGAACTCAACCATGTCAATGACGAACTTTATTACTTCAGTGTGCAGAAGTATTGTTTAGGATAGGTTCGTGGTTTTGTAAACTGATTGTTTTTGTTGTCCAGGCTCGGTCGAACATGTTACCGACCTTCAGACCAGCAGCTCAGCTTTTTCGGAGCGACCCAGGACTGCCGAGCTGAGAACGGCGACCTCGCTATTATAAAGGTACGGCACTGACACTGCATCTCAGGTCATTAACCAGATAGCTGCCTGGGTACTAGGAAATATAAAGAACTACTAATTTCTCCAATCGATGGTCAGCGTTTGAGATAGCATCATTTCGATCTACATACTGGTAGTAGTGTAACAATTACCTGCAATCCTGATCTTTATCGTATCTGGGGATTGTAACATGTGAGTCTTTTCGATGTCCACTTGACATAACAGACGTGTTACACTCACAGGATCCACCGACCCACCGCTTCGTGATCGAGCTGATCCAGACATACCGACCGGGCGAGTCGCACTGGGTCGGACTGTCGGACATGCTGAGGGAGGGGGTCTTCTTGTGGGCGGACGGGATCCCACTGGAAGGTACCAGCACGCATCGAGTGGTTGTAATTGGGCAGTACATGGAGGAATTCAGGAAGTGCTTGGCTGTGTGTTATACAATCCACCGTGATACAGTTCATTACATTAATAAATTGGGTATACATTAATAAATTGGGTATCGAGGGTTGTCGGAGACTATGAAATAACGACGTACGTGATCCACATGTAAGTATGCACATGATCCATGAAAGTATGCCACAAATATCTGCTGCCTTTTCCACAGGAACCACCTTTTGGGCCAGAGGACAGCCCAACAACCTCGGTGCCGGCCAACACTGTGTGTACATGTACCCGGCGTTCGCGTACAATTGGGTAGACGGGGAATGTTTGGATCAACACTACTACATCTGCCAACAGCCTGCAGGTAAATACTTGTCTCGGATGAGCGTGTTGTGTGTTGTTGTTTTCTGCCTGTCTGTCTGTTCCAATAGCTAATTACATGATGGTGATTTTGACTGTTGATTGACAGTTGACAGAGGGTCACGCCTGAAGGTGACCCAGAGTAAGTATAGTCGTATGGCCGTGGGAAGTTGTGATTAAATTACACCAAACAAAAGAAGCTTGTGAGCTAAAATACTTCACGGAAGTCAGAAATCTCCAATTCTTGTTT